TAGTTATTGTTTCTGTATCTGTTATTACTACTGTGCAGCAATCTTTGTGGATTCTGACAGAGAGGATGCTTTATTAACAGTTGTTTTGAATAACTTAAAACTTTGTGGATTGTGACTGTGATGATATTAAAATCTAGGTCAGTTGGACTATCGTAGCATTGGTGGCCAACATGGGGAATTTAAGTCATGGATCCCAAGTTGGTAAAACTTAACACATCATCATATATTTTGTCGCCCATGATGATGTCATGGCCAACTTACTTTATTTAGGGAGACAATAAATCACTTTAATGAAATCATACAGACATTCTGAATATGCAGGAGATGGGTATTTACAGGAGATTTTTTGCTTGCTTGCAGGAGCATTTGGAAACCATACTGATATAAATATTGTTTTAATTTAAACTGTAAAATGTTTAAATATTTAAGTTATATTCAATCAAGTCGAAGGCCCTCTGGAGCCCATTCCCAGAAATCCATCCCCTGGTACAGTAGGTGTTAGGTATGAGCTTGAATATACATTTTTCACTTGAGGAAAACAACCTTTTTATTTTCCTGTGCATGATTTGTTTAGTAACACCACTTATTACCACCTTGCAGGTACAGATTCATGTTCCTGTTTACAAGTAAAACTCATATAAACATCAATTAACCTTTCACTGATAGTTTTTGCCTAGTTTCATTAGCCAGCTTGTGGAAATTCTGCAACCCTCATTTATCTCGCCACAACTTACCAAACATCACATACTTTATGCATAAGTTAACTATCATTGACAATAATATTTGTATTAATCAATTATTTTGTTAGAACACACAGGTACGAAACTGGCCTTCCAGTAATAATTAGTCATTAAACATGATTTCTCGGTTAATGTTTAAATCGTGACTATTCGTTTTGTATAACCCTTATCTGTCTTGCCAAAATTTACCATACATTTTTATCATAAATTTGAGTTAACTATCATTTGACAAGTACATTTGTATTAATCATTTATTTTGTAAGAACACACAGATACAAGACTGGCCTTCCAGTAATAATCAGTCATTATACATGATTTCCCGTTTAATGTTTTATTCATGACAAACAGTTTTGATTAACCCTCTTCTGTGTTGACACAACATACCGTACATCACATACTACGTACATAAATTTGAGTTAACTATCATTGACAAGTATATTTGTATTAATTATGTTGTCAGAACACACATTTACTAGACTGGCCTTTCAGTAATAATCAGTCATTATACATGATTTCTCCATTAATGTTTTAATCGTCACAAACTATTAGTTTTGTGTAACCCTCGTCTGTCTTACCACAACCTACCACCCATCACATATTTATGCATAAATTTTAGTTAACAACCATGGACAAATGTATAATTGTATATTATTAAATCAATTTAAATTGTTTTAACATACAGATATGAGAATAGCCTTAATCATTATTTTTTATACATGATTTCGCAGACAATGTTTGTGACAGACAATTACAAATTTGGCGTATGAATATGACAACAATGATTAACCTTTTTGCATTGGTGTGTACCACAGTTGATTTGATACAAGATATGTGCTGAAGCAATGGTTTATATGTGTTAATATCCCACAATTGATTCACCACCTAATACAGTACAGCTATCCTAAACTATCAATTCATTAGCTTTCAAAGCCACCCTAATTTCATGCTTCATTGAATTCGATAAATTGTTGTGAAGACATTTATAGCCCGTCTATTGATCTTAATTATCTGTTCTAAGTCTGCTTCACTTGCTTGACAATTAATATGGTAGCTGTGTTTTTACAACATGTTAAGGATGCTACTTATGTAGTTCTTACTATTTTGAGGTATTATGCAAAATTTTGCAATGAATGACATTGTATCAGGCTTTTTTTTTATCAGTAAATTTATTGTCTGTTTTGTTTGTAATAAAATATGTTTTGCACCATTTTGTAATTTTGTAAAAATGAAAAAGTAATAATAAATGACAAGTAATAAGTAGACATATTTATGTAGATTTGAATTTTGTAGGGTTTGAACCTCCAACCTCATGTGTTTTAAAACCTTAAACTGCTGTACCAACTACTGAAATATAAAAGTAATGATAAAATATATATTGTGGTATGAAATTATAAATTATCTGTAAACAATTGAACAATATTTATATTAAAATTGTAACTTGGTAACTATAACTTATAAAGTGTAAAATTATGAATATTTTGAAAATATCGAACAACTTTAAAAAGTATCTGTAAACAAGTGAACCATATTTATATTCAAATTATATCTTGGTAAACTTATAAAGTGTAAAAATTGTGAATGTTTTGAAAATATAGAACAACTTTAAATTATTGTGATAATAATGTTGTATGTTTTGCAAGAAGCAGGGGATTTTTATTTATTTTTATTTCTTTATTCTGAATACAAAATAACATTCCTGGATAAAAACACAATAAAGTACCAAAAAAGGCAAACTTATTTTCCATTGTGGTTCAAAACGGATATGCGTAATAATAAGAAAAATCCAGGATATTAGTTATGAACTAGACAAAGGTACTTGTTACATTTACAGTACCTAAAATATTTTGTTATTCCATATAGTATTAAACCATAAAATGAAAAAGCCTAAAATCAAAATATATATTATCTAAGCTAACATTAATCACAAAACTAGAGCCTATTAATGAGCTGCATTGATATTTATAATGGAAAATTATTATCATAAAAAATAGAGAACCTATTAAAAATTAATATTGAATGGAATGATGGTTGAATACAAATTGCATTGTGAATTACTTGCAATTGATGGATGCCTGTTATTTAAAATTTGTTCTAATAACTACGGGTATGAGTGATTTCTCATCATGTATTTATTACATAATAAAGAGAATAGGTTGTGTATTGTGTTAAGCCAGACACGCACCTAGTCATTTAGCCGTCGACCGACGAATCTATCTTCGCTATCTGTAAACGTTTGACGACATTAATGGCGTCTGCTGGTTGTCGGCAGTAGTCTTGTTAAAAATGATCCATTGCACACATTATGTTGCGTTTCTTATGGATTTGCATTCGCTGTTCGTGCCTGTCTTTAGTGGGAGTGGAACACATAATACCAAACTACTTATGAGCTTAAATTAATCACTCATTTATGTCCTTTGGTTGGGTTGTACTTTTGAAGTTCTGACTATTGTCTGTTGTAATTTCTGCAATCCCAATTTTTACTTCTTTTTAAATGTCTTTTGAATCTTAAATTTTATAAGAACTTTTAATGTTTTAATTATTTCACTTGTTTATTTATATGTAAGTAATAATTGTTATATTAATATAGTAATAAATAAATATAATAATTGTAATGATTAAATAATAATGACAATAGTATTACAATGAATATTAAGAATGATTTTTTTTTTAATGTACTATTTTGTTAATTTTTTCTCAATTCTGCAAACTGCCATGACAAAAGTTTATTGAATAAAAATACCTTGATACAGTATATCACTGTATGTACAAAATTTAGCATACAGAATTGTGCAGCCATCCCCATTCCCTGTGGAATAGCCCATTATGAGTATGTAATTGAACATGGAGTAATTTCCTACATTCACATCATTGTACCAATTTACTGTATATTTCTAGTAGAAAAAGTCAAACATAGATAAAACACCTTTACCAAGGATACAGGGAATGTGATGAGCATCGGATTTTGAAAATTATTATAAAACTAGTATCATATTTCATGTGCATGATCCTTCCAGGTCATAGACAAGCCTAGGGACTGATCAATAATGTTCCTGGCAAGCAATGAAAAACAAAGTAAATATTTATAAATTAAAGTTGATATGATCAAGGTATGGCCTCACTGTCTCCTTTTCTTGTTAATGGGTATGCATGCTAACCTATACACAGATGTGCTATTACATATAATGTTGCTGATTTTTCCTAGCTCATGTCTCGTGTATCATTTTGGTAAATTGGTCTACTTTTTGGAAACTTAGTTAGTGCACTGTTTTGCCTTGATTAAATTGGGTAGAAGTCCCATTTAAAGGCTTAGGGATCATACGTTTTTTTTATTTGTGTTAAATATATTACATGTAGAACTAGAAGTATCAACTCACAAACATAGCTTTGCCATGACCTTGTGGAAATTCTACCTTTACATTAACTTGCATTAGTGTTTGAAAAACATTTTATTACCATTTTACTCACAACGTAAGTATGATAGAGACAACAAATTTCACAAGCCTATCTACATTGGTTTTTTGATCAATTCTAGGATTTTTTTTTTTTTCAATTTTAACACTATTCCTCTGAACCAACGGCCAAACCATGCTTAGTTTAAGGAGTAGGATTAGTTAAGTATTACTGTTTTTGTATTCTGATTTATGTTAAGTGCGTAGAGGTCTCTATGATATGCGCTCTATACGTCGACCATTATTATTATTATTATTATTATTTATTATTATTATTATTATTATTACTATTCGTATCTAGTCCTCAACTTTTGTCTATTGACCTATATTTTGCATGAATGCATTTTTTCGTGACATCGGGTACGCTATTTGTCCAAAAATAAAAATTGTATTTTATTTGAAATCATCATTACTTCGGGTGGTGAGTCCACTGAACAAGGTATAAAAAAAGTGCTGCCCTATGGGTTAGACTTGGAAGTAACCTTTCTCTGCTCCATTACAAGACACAGATTTTTGTATAGCTTACCATTAATTGTTTTCTTTCATCAACCTGCTCTACTTTAGAGGTGACGGTGCAATAATTTTTCGTTAACCCGCTGTGTTTGCTGAGGGTTATGCTTAGGTAAGGCTGGACTTTTTTTGGGGGGAAATGCTCTCTTCCTTTAATGAATCAAACTTCCCCAGATGAGTCAAACCATTCATTAGTAGTCTTTTTTTCAACGTTACACTGAATACACGTGTTAAAAAAATGGCTTCTCTCCTGGACGTACGACAGCAAGCGGTAAACAATTTTTCTCTTTGTGTTTTACAGCTTTACGACAAGATCAATACAAAATCGACAGATCAACCGCCAAGTCGCAAGAATATTCCGTCGGATGTGACGTTGAAAACTAGAGAGGTAAGTTTATATATTCATTGCCTTCTCTCTGTAAGATTATCATTGTTATATTTTGCTTCTAAATATCCGATCATCTTGTTGTACCTTTTGAGTGTTTTCTTACACAAATACCCGTCAGCTTCCTTCATTTGATAATCCTTAGATTTCACCATCCAGTTAATTTTAACTATTACTTTCTGTTTCTGTTAGATAATCACTATTTAAAGTTTTCTTATATGAATATATTTTCCATTAAGTTTGTGGTCTAATTATCTAATAATTTTTTAATTCACCCATCCAATCAACTTCTTTCTCTATTAGATTTTCACTAAATTATCCAATAATTCACTATCCTCTGTTAGTTTTCTGCTAGCTGTACTTATTAAATTTTCACTTGTTAGCTTTTGCTTCTAGATATCCAAACATCTTTCATTATTTTGAGTTTTTTCACTTACCATTTTATTGGTTCTTTCCATTTGACAATTTCACATTTTATTGTCATTTTGACTTTTGTTGTATTTACCTAGTAATCAATTTAATTATTTTTGACATCATCTAATGAAATGTGCTTTGGTATTGTCTGTGACTTACTTTTCGGCTGTTAAAAAATGTATGTCTTCCGTTTTGAAGATTTTATGCGTCACATGTCATTGAAACATTTTTGTGTTTTCAGCTAACGGATTTGTTACAGAAACTTCCTCAGAGCAATTCCGAAGGTCATGAACTCCAACGAATTCTTACCCATCCACATTTTAGAGTAAGTGATTTTTCCTGCATCTAATTTTTAACAGCAAGTAAGCAGTAATACATTATTTTGTTTCACCCATTCTGGATCAACTCTAAATTTCAGCCAAAGACAACACCTAAAATTCATAGTCCGTATTAGCAGGTTTCCAAATTTCGCTCTTCAGAAACAAGTTGCTTTCTGCACTAACAACAAACTATCTTTAAATAATAAATATGAAAACATAACCTGACTGTCAGTGACATTAAAACAGAAGGAAAGGCAAGATAAGAAATGATTCCCACTCATGTCAGAAATGATCCTGGCCATCTACCCTAACTGCATCGGTGGTTGTGGAATACAGATGGTGATGATAGTCTTACATCATGCCAACGCTTCTTTATGCTTTACATCAATACCGCGGTCATTAGATTGAATACTGAACCCCTTGGGGGAGTACTTATCATTACAGCTAGTAACCTGCGCATTGTTATACGAACCTACTTATACCCTTTTTTTACACTGCAAGCAATAATCCGGAGACAACCCGAAATTTTCCAATACTTGGAAAGAGGAACTCCGTATTAGTGGTTAGTGTACTGTAAGTAGCAAAAAATGACTCAGGTTGCCAAACATTCTGAGTTTGATGTGTGGGACGCATTCAGCGTTGGACAACCCGGGTACACATTGGAGTCGCCAGTGTAAACAACACAAAATTCGATTACGGATATATAGGCCTTATCTGGCGCCTACTGCATTTGTGGTCAGGTAGGCCTAGTCTTTGCTGGCAACGGGCTAGTCCAATACACTTTTCAAAAGTAAACCTCCTGTACTTCTGTAGACTTGGCAACAAAATTGCTGATTTAGTTCGGATATTTAACAAAAAAATCAGGTGTAAAATGATCAACATAGACTTTTTGTTCAATGTAAATATCAATGCATCACTCTGGATAAACTAATACCTCCTGGTATAAACTACCAGGTATTGGTATATACTATCACCTTCTGCTGTAAACCACCACATTTTGGTATTAACTTTCATCACCACCTAGTATAGACATGGTATAAACAACTACCTTCTAGTGTAAACCACCATCTTTTGGTATAAGCATGGAGGGATATGATATAAGCCACCAGTTTCTGGTATAAGGCCCCAGTTTCTGGTGTAAGTCCAACCATAACAAGTAATTGCCATGCAAAATACTTCCACTCTTTTACTAGTAGTAAGTTTAAACTAATGGATATTGATCATAACAAAATTGATGAATTATGTAACTTGCACCATGATTAACACAAAGTGATGCATGCCAGTTACCGGGGCCTTCCGGAGGGATGATATTGATCCATGCTTACTGCCTCATAGAATGTCCTAGATGTGAACGTTTGAGAATACCACTGAAACCACCGAGTCTTCACTCCGGCTGGAATTGTAATAGCAGAAAGGCTATGTCTTCACAAAGATGTATCACAATAGTGTAATATCAGATTTATTTATTAAATGGATTAAAATGTATCACCAGTATTAATTTTTTTTCACATGGCCATTTTTGTCTTTGAAAATACAGAGAAATACAGTACAGAGAAAAATTTGAATGTAGTTTTTAAATGAAAGTGCATGAATATAATGAGATGAAAATCATAAAGATGAATTTTTCTAAAACTTTACTTATTAGGATGAATTTTCTTACTAAGCAAGAGTAACTTTTTATTCTTACACTACAGTTTCAACAAACTTTGCTGATTTTTTATTTTTTTTATTTTTTAGTTCTCAGTAATTGTATTCCTATATTTATAAATAATCATTTTATTGCACTAAATAATAGACAAATTGGGCTGGGCATGACACCATGCAGGTTAGAAAAAAAGGAACACACATTTAAAAAAAAATATTTATGGAAGATAGAACATTAAAATGTAGGAAAAAGGTACAAAATAAAATAAATCTCTTTTTATTAGCCTTATGAATGTATGAATAAATTTAGCAGTTATTACATTTTAATGTAGGTTGATCTTGGCCCCATTTATTTTCTGCATTAGGTCCTTTCCTGTGTTTTTTGGTGAAATTAGTTGAGAACATTATCATTTCATGTCCATATGATTGTGTTCTTTCAAGTAGGATTCCCTCGCCTTGACCTGAATGGCATACCTTGTTTACAGCTGATCCTGTTTCCTAGACATGTGATTTGTTCAAAGTTCTTTCAACTACTCTTACATTTCCTTGACCCTATTTCCCTCATCTGTGTATTCTGCTATTTATAACTTAGCTGTATGTATAGGCCTACAGCACTCTAGATATTTTGATATGCTACTAATGAAAGAAATTTGTAAAATTTTGGGAAATATGTTGATGCAAACATTCATCAGTAAGGCAGATGGCTGATCACCTACAAGAAAGGTTTGAGCCTTTGCTCTTGAACACTTAACCATTATTATGTTTTAATTATGAATTTACTTTTATTAAACACCAAAAAACATCATGGATCCATATTCTATATTTTATTTACTCATTTTCAGGGAATTTTTGAATAGTACAGTTTAATTGTTTTGTCATGGTGTGAGAAGAACATCCAATGGGACAGTGAGAAAGAAGGGTGGGGGATGCGGGGGAAGGAATTATTGTACAGAAAAAATGGAGAGCAAAACCAAGAAGACAAGACAAGAACCTTTTTTATTTTTTAAATTATTTTATTTTATTAAGTTATAAAGACCACGCATACAAAATGGGAGTGCAAAGCTAAAATGCTTGCATTACAATAAAATGTAAAGATTGTCATCCGTGACTTGTCACTACTTTCTTTAGTGGAAAAGATATTAAAGAGATTTGTTTTAGCCACAAGGGAATATACTGGCTTTGAACCTGGAACCGTGGAATTGGAATTCAAGCATTTCAAACCGCAAGACTTCAGCTTTACTTCTGTACTCCTTTGGTCTCTGAAAATAGCATGACCTTGTAACAAATAATTAGAAAGCATGTTATGGTGATGAGGGATGCAGTCAAATTTGAATTCAACTTCTGACATCATCATTTTAATATATAGCGCCCTCTATATTTCAAGCAATGTTAGTTGTTTAAATCAGTTCACAACTTGCATCATTACACTACTACACTACACACACATCACATTTTCTTTGACCATAAACTGTATGCCCATATATAGTCAGGTTGTTCCCATATATGGTCATGATGTGATGTCATCATGACCATATTCAAGCATGTTACATGTTTTTAAATCAGCTCAAGGCACTGACCCCAGAATCTCACGGCTGTTTTTGTTTTTGTTATCAAAACTTTGAAAGCGTCCAGCGTCACAAGTTTTGAACGGACATGCAGGAAATTTTGTACACATTAACTAGAGGTGATTTCCAACAAATGTTCATCGCCCTTTTTTTAAATTGGACTCCAGGGTTCCCCTTACACCTACAAAACAAAACAGGGGTTTCAGCATGGTCTGTACATTACTGCCATTACCACTAATAGGGCATGTCGCATGGATGGCACAGTCGGTTAAGAATGTGTTCTAAAGAACTTAAGGTCATGAGTTCAAATCACGTCTTGGTATTCAATTTTTTTCCCCAATTTTAAGAATTTTTTTTTTTTTTCAATTTTAGAATATTTTAATTTTGTCCAAATGAACATTCTAAATAATAATTTTTTTTGTACAAATATACATTCTAATTATTTAAAAAGATCTTTCCAATAAACCCAATATAATAACTTGTGCCTGTACCGTATTTAAGCTTGGAGGAACGCGCGGACCGGTGAGCGGTTTCTCTTGTCAAATAAGATTTAATAGTTTGGACATGGCTTAATAAATATTTAGGTAAAATTCTTGTTTAACAAGTAAACATATCTGTATCGGATGTTCTGATGAACATGTGTTCACACATTGAACATTGAAAGTTGTATTTAACAGTGTTTTACCCTTTAAGAAATCAAGTAAAAATAAATAATATACAGTAAATTGGACTTTCATAAGCAGTATAACATGCATAGTATTTAATAGAAATGAATATAAAATAGATTTTAGTATACATGGACAGAAAGCATACAAATCAGTTTACATCTAAACGGTGATGAGATTAATACGTAATAACCAATTATGGCTAATGAACATCTTGATTGCAGAGCATAAACTCTCCTCAAGATGTAATGATTATTCAGTATTTGCTTAATTAGATTCCTAATTAGTATCTCGCAATGCTGTCCTGCAATTACAATCATGATTAATTTTATTTAGGAGTTGCGGTACAGTGAATATAAGCATGGGATTGAAGCGTTTGCAGTCTTACAGATTACACCATTAAAAGTGTAGACCTATTGTCTGTATTGAAATAAACTTCATCATTAACATTCACTATTTAAATTGCTTATGTTGTAAATAAGAATACTGAGAATCTGAAAATTATAACAAATATATTTTCCTTTGCCAATTATTCTGGTTAAAAGCGATGCAAAGTACTGAAATTCTACATGCATGTCACTATACGTTAAATTAGATAGAAACATTAAATATCTATTCTATATTCATTATGGTACATATTGGCTGGTAATTTATTGTAAGTACCTTTTTTATTAAAACTTCAGTAAACCGGCAAGTAATATTGTTTGTTTGATTCAATGTTCCATTGAAAATTGATACAGTAATTTTTTTTATCCTTTTGAAATCTTTTGATAGAAATTTGAATGGCCTTCCAAATTTTGCCACAATTTAATGATTGTTTCTTAAACTGTTCACTTATTATTCATTGTTATTGTAATTTGTATTATTTTTTCTCTGAATTTATTATTAGTATTATTTATCTTTAATTTAAATTAAAATAGGTATGTCATATGCATGTTCTGTTTATCTTCAGAGCTCAAACTAAATAATATTGACAAATGAGCAGATTCATTTCAATCGATACCAATGTATCATCTTCGCTGAATAAATCAGATGAAATTATTTCAATAAATAAATTATAATATCATCAATTTAAGAAATGTTGGCTTTCAGATTTAGAGATATTATATACCTGCAATATGAAGAAATAAG